TAAAAAGAACTTTGTTAATTTATTAATTTAGCACTTTATTAGGCATTTAACTGATAGGAATTTATTCCCAGAATACTCAGGAAAACGCAATAGCTTATTTAAGCCTAAATTTCCTAACCTGGAGGTAATAATAGTACCAACTTCGTAGGGTCGTCTTAAGGATTAAATGAGATCGTAAACCTAGCATAGTATCTGATACATAATAAGTGATCACAAAAGTGGCAACTGTTACTACAAGAAGCGCAACCCCAAGTGATCAGTGGTTGTCCCAGAAATCCACAGAAATGTCATGTCAGAGTTTTTCATTCATTGCTATTCAGTCTGTGTGGATTAATAGTAGAGAGTTACCATCGATAGGTACTGGTATTAGACAGACTCGGTCTGGGTTGAAATCTTGGCTCTCTCATCAGCTTGGGTAATAACCTTGCTGAATCTCAGCACCCTCATCTGAAAAGTGGAGTTAACAATTCATATCTCATAAATTTGAGGGACAAATTAGTTGAAAGATACCTAAAACCCAGTGAGGTAGGGATTGCCAAACTGCCATTCCACCTCCCCATTACTCACTTGGTCTCCTTCACCATTCAAAAACATCTCTTTGGAGCCAGCCCTGGAAGGCATGAAAATGTTTAGTGGACTGGGAAACATCCTAATAATTTAAATAATGCCTTTCTCTTTATAGTTCTTCATTTCTCCATTTGCCTCTTCTGAGAGAGCTACAGAACTTTCCGGTTATATATATATATATATATATATATATATATATATATATATACTGTTTTTCCTTGAAATGGGAAATTGTAGCAATAAAATCACTAGTTTGTTGAGAGGACAGTGTTAGATTATGAAGAACACACAGATGTGTGTGTTCTGGTGACAAGCCATATTTTCTGTCTCTGGACGCAGGTCCAGAGATAATGCTTCTCTGTAGAATGTGTGACCATTACTTCCTGCCAACCCCACCCCCAACATGCACTCAGCTACAGTGGTTACAAGTGTCTCTCTCTCTCTCTCTCTGTCTCTGTCTCTCTGTCTCTCTGTCTCTCTGTCTCTCTCTCTCTCACACACACACACACACACACACACACACATGCCATTTGATTGATCTGATCAAAGTTGAACCAATTAAGTCTCCTCCCCAGGAATTTTGACACTGAAACCTAGAAGAAGCCAGTCTCTCTGCTGGCCAATGAATCTCTAACATGTGAAGCCCAGGAGTTGCCTGCCACCATGTTTTGTACAACGTAGACTAAGAAGGGAAGAAAGAAGGTCCCAGGTGCATTGAGAGGAGCAGAGAGAAGAGTACAGAAAGACAGAGGTAGGTCTTGGCTGCACCACTGTCCCTGGATCCAATATGTTCCTCTGTCCTTGGTGCGAGTTGTTGTTGTTTTTTTAATATTATTTTACAATCTACTGTTTTCTTAATTTTTTAAATTTATTTATTTATTTTTGGCTGCATTGGGTCTTCGTTGCTGCGCGCAGGCTTTCTCTAGTTAAGAGTGGGGGCTACTTTTTTTTTTTTTTTGGCTGCGTTGGGTCTTCATTGCTGCGCATGGGCTTTCTCTCATTGCGGGGAGCAGGGGCTACTCTTCATCGCGGTGCGCAGGCTTCTCATTGCGGTGGCTTCTCTCATTGCAGAGCATGGGCTCTAGAGCGCAGGCTCAGTAGTTGTGGCGCACGGGCTTAGTTGCTCTGTGGCATGTGGGATCTTCCTGGACCAGGGCTCGAACCTGTGTCCCCTGCATTGGCAGGAGGATTCTTAACCACTGTACCACCAGGGAAGCCTCCTGTCCTTGAGTTCCAATGATTAGTTCCCCTTTTGGCTTCAGTCAGTTGGAATTGGGTATCTGTTATTTGCAAGCCAGATTCCTAACACATCCAGAGTTGAACCGGTCCTCTCTGAAGAGCCATTTCAGATCTAACATTCCAAGAGCCCATGATGATGGCTTCTCCTTCCCACTCAGCACCACCTTTACACCCCCTCCATGTCACCTTTTCACCAAATAGAAAAAGTGCCCCTTCCTCAAGACACTTTATTGACACCTGGTGGAAAATTGTCACAAAATACTGATGTTTTGAGAACAAGACACTTACTACAAGAAAATTAGATCTCCCATACCTATGATACAAATTGCACCCCCTTAGGGTGTCCCCCAAGGCACCCTTGAACACGCAGACTGCATGTCTAATCGAAATTCTAGTTTCCATCTTGTCCAGTTTTTTACCATCAAGAAACTGTGCAGGGGACTTCCCTGATGGTCCAGTGGTTAAGAATCCGCCTTCCAATGCAGGGAATGCGGGTTCGATCCCTAGTCGGGGAACTAAGATCCCACATGCCATGGGGCAACTAAGCCCACGCACTGCAACTACTGAGCCCGCGCACTCTAAAGCCCGTGTGCCACAACTAGAGAGAAGCCCTTGTGCTGCAACTAAGACCTGACATGGCCAAATAAATAAATAAATAAAAAGAAACTGTGCAAGAAAGGGCTAAAATTAGAGTCAAAAGCCTGTGACAACACCAAGGGATGGAGAGGAGCTGGGGCTAGCCACCCTCATCATCTTCATCATCTCCCCAAATAAGGATATGGAATTTAAGTAGAAATATTGCACTGCTTTGCAAATACAATTTCAAGACAGGTCCTCCAGCCCTGCCCGCATCCACCAGATTGCCACCCATAAGCCCCTCTCCCATTTAGAAACTCCTCAGCTAGTGTTAGGAAAAACTAATATCCCGGTGTCCAGTTACTACAAAATGGAATTCCATGCACCCTAAATGCTGGTAATTCATACCGTAATGCTAACCATGGTTAATCATCTAAATTGGCTTGAGTCTCACCTACTGATACTCCCTTGTGGTGAGTCCAGTTGTAATTTTTTTCTCAGGTACTCATCTTCATGGTTGTTATTTCTGGGGAGTCCCCTGTGCCCTAGGGTGGGGAAGTGTTCCCAAAGAGACTATGCTTATTGTCAGGCCCCAGAGATTCAAGAGTGTTTTTGAGCTCATTTCTCAGTTTAGGATCAATATTCCAATCAAGTCGTTTACAACTAACCCTGCATCCACAGGGCACAGGCTTGGGATTTACATTTCTCACAGGAGCCTTTTTTTTTCCACACTCATATACCAGACCCCAGACTCATAAGCCCAGTTGCATACTGGACAGTTCCGCTTGGGTGTGTCACAGGTTTCTCAAATTCATCTTCCAAAAATTGAGCCCTCAGTAATTCCCTGGCTGTCCAGTGGTTAGGACTCCACGCTTTCACTGCCCAGGGCCCGGGTTCAATCCCTGGTTGGGGAACTAAGATTCCACAAGCCTCGCAGTGCTGCCAAAAAAAAAAAAAAAAAAAGAACTCCCCCTAGAAAACCTATACTTCTCCAGCATTCCTTATTTCAAGGGATAGCACAGGACTGGCATGTATGGCTGTGTAAAGGGTTCATTGCATAAGGGAAAAGTGGGGGCTGAAATCTAGCTTGCACACTGCTCACCAGGCAATGCGTCCACGGGACTGTGTCCACCAAGAAAGCATCTTTCTCTAGGTGTATGAAGCCACCACATGGGCTAGACACTATATGTTGCCCTGGCAACAGCACCACCATCCACCTATTGCCACTTTTCCTTCCCCCATAACTTCCTCCCACCCACATCCAAGTCATTCCAGAGTCTTGCCAATTTTATCTCCTAGGTAGCCCTCCAATCCATCTCCTTGGTCCACCTCTGCTGTAAGTTTCCAGATCGAGCAAATTAAAATACCAGTTAAATCCCAGTTAAATTTGAATTTCAAATAAACAGCAAGTGAATTTTAGTATAATTGTGACTCATGCATTCCTTTTGTCCTCCCTTTCCTAGAGAACCCTGGTTTCTCCTCCAGCCCACACTGCGCTCAGCCAATAGAACACATTTCTAGCCAGATGATCACTCCCATGCTCACACCATCACCACTGCAAGGTGCCGTCACACCCTCTCCGTACTTGGTAGAAACATACACATTTCCTCGGAAAACAAGCCATTGGGATTTTTGACTTCTTTTTTGATATGAGGCAGGGTCCCTCCATGTGCACCAAGAAATGTTTAATTTGCATGTATTTCTTACAAAGTCCAGGTTTGGGAGCCTCAGTGTTGACTCTTCAAGTCAGTAGTGGCCGCCCCATCCCCCAGGGAGGCTCAGGCCACAACCCCTCCTGGAGTTCCCCAGTGTTGGAAGGACAGAAGGCATCTCAAATGGGCTCCCAGTCCTTCCCCAGAGTCCACTGGGAACTTGGCCAGTAGATGTGCTAAATCAGGGTCAGAGTTCCTTACTGCAAGGGATGGGGGCTGTTCAGTGCGTTTCGGGCCCAGACGGGAAGAAAAGTCGCAGGGCATAAAGATGTGAGAGGGGCCAAGGCAGGGGGCAACGTGTGGCCAAACCAGCCAAGGTCAAGGCTGGTCAAGGGAGAGGGAATGAGTCCAAAGACCCCGTGGAGGCAGCAGGCCTGGTCTCATCAGGGGCTGGGCAGGACCAAGTGGTGCCCTGCACTCAGATGGGCACTCCTAGATGTCCCAGATGTCAGCCCCGCACAGCTATCAGGTTCTCAGTGAACCACAAGATTACCCTTGACCTCAGGAGATACCCACTGAAGTATATAGGTATGTAGGAGTAAAGGGTTATGATGTCTGCCGCTCACTCTCAAATAATTGAGAAGGGACTTCCCTGGTGGCGCAGTGGTTAAGAATCCACCTGCCAATGCAGGGGACACGGGTTTGAGCCCTGGTCTGGGAAGACCCCACATGCCGCAGAGCAACTAAGCCCGTGCACCACAACTACTGAGCCTGCGCTCTAGAGCCCATGAGCCACAACTACTGAGCCCGCGTGCCACAACTACTGAAGCCCGCGCGCCTAATGCTCCGCATGCTCCGCAACAAAAGAAGCCGCTGCAATGAGAAGCCCGCGCACTGCAACGAGGAGTAGCCCCTGCTCGCCACAACTAGAGAAAGCCCATGCACAGCAACGAAGACCCAACGCAGCCAAAAATAAATAAATAAATATATTTATCAAAATTGATAGTAATAATTGAGCAAAATAATAATAATAATATGAGAAAAAGAGAATGTGTACAACTCTGGACACATTAACTCTGTTAATTGTAGACTCTAGGTGAAGACTATGTAGGTGTCTGTTGTACGATTCTCGCAACTTTTCTATCAGTTTGACAGTTTTCAAAATATAAACTTAAGGGAATTTCCTGGCGGTCCAGTGGTTAGGACTCTGCACTTTCACTGCGGAGGGCCCGGGTTCAATCCCTGGTTGGGGAACTAAGATCCCACAAGCCGTGCAGCGCCGCCAAAACAAAAAAGTTAAAAGAGGCAAAACACAGTGATTCTGCATCCAAGTCAAACACTGATTTAGAACAGTCGCACCAACAGAAGCAATTAACAGGAAAAGGCTCTCCCGAGGACAGTCAGTGCCTGCTTCCTGGACCTGTTCCTGTTCAAGACTGTCTTGGAAAGTCCAAAGAACCTGTGGATAGAGGCACGGAGTTAAAGGCTGTGCTCCATTACAAGACTAACAGTTCTCAACCACACATGGTGACACATGGCCATGACATCTGCCCAAGGGCCATCTCAGGGCAAAGGGCACCATCCACTCTGGGAGAGGCTCTCTGCCTCTCTCGTCTCCATTGTGAAGCCTCTCAAAAGCCTGCTCTTCTGGGCTTGCCTCCAGTTTTTATGCTACTTTTTTTTTTTCTGGCGGTACATGGGCCTCTCGCTGTTGTGGCCTCTCCCGTTGCGGAGCACAGCCTCCGGACGCACACGCCCAGCGGCCACGGCTCATGGGCCCAGCCGCTCCGTGGCATGTGGGATCCTCCCGGACCGGGGCACAAACCCGTGTCCCCTGCATCGGCAGGCGGACTCTCAACCACTGCGCCACCAGGGAAGCCCCCTATGCTACTTTTTGAAGGTTCTTTGACCCACCAACAGGTAGCAAACTCTGTAGCAAGGGGACCGCTGGCTGCCAACTGTCAAGCTCTTCAACTTCTCTTATCTCATTCTTCAGCTTGTTGGCCTTCTCCTTCACCCAGAAAGGCAAGCTGTGGGAAGAAAACAATACCCTGAGTTGAGTTTGTCTGATGCAAAATTTACAAACACCTTCAGCAGACAAGGCACTACATCCTCCAAAAGTAAGAAGGCCTCCCATGCTGCAAAAAAGCAAAATCAAACACCGTGTTAGTCTTCACCATTTGCCCCCGCCCCAAACCCAGATCTCTTTTGTATCCCTCTCTACCCAAGAAGTTGACCCCAGTAGCCTGCATCACCTTGACTCCTCCCTGCCCCCACCTTTGAGCTGGGCTTGGCTAATGGGAGGCACCAACAGGAGATCAGAAGGTGGAAAGACAGAGGTTGGGGTATGTCTTATTGAGCTCCCACCCTATCTCCTGAGGTACCCCAATTCTGGAGCCGCTGTATTCTCCTCTGCCGCAGGTCCTTTCAGACAGCCCTTCTCCATCTCCTGCTGCTCTATGAACCATGGGCCCTCCTCCTGCTGTTCAGATCTAGGAGTAGTAAGTTTCGCACTGGTGGGAGCCCCTGGGTGCTCCGCCCTCCCATGTGAGTTTCCTCAACCTGCCCACACACTGGTAAACAGTCCTTTCATTAAACTGTCTTCAGAATCCCACCTGAGTGTGCCTCTGCTTTCTGCCGGGACCTCAGCTAATACAGACACCCAGCGTCCTCCCAGGTCTGTTGAGATTTGAAAGGGCATATGCTGGGCTGCAGTGTGTGGGTTCTGAGAGGTACCAGGAAGTAAGGTTCCTGGGATGAGTCAGAGCAGGAAGACGAAGAATGTTTTCACCTTTTGGCAGCTAAAATTTTCATGTTTTTAGGGAGAAGTGCATCATGATTGAGAAAATACCCTGATAAACCTGCTGGAGTATTACCACACATAGCAATAGGTGGGAGTAATGGTTATCATTTAAAGCTGACAACCCAATAGTAGAAGCCCAAGTAAGAAAAGCAGGACGACAGACTTCCCTGGCGGTCTAGTGATTAAGACTCTGTGCGCAGTGGTTAAGAATCCGCCTGCCAATTCAGGGGTCATGGGTTTGAACCCTGGTCCGGGAGGATCCCACATGCCACGGAGCATCCAAGCTCATGCGCCACAACTGCTGAGCCGGCACTCTGGAGCCCGCGAGCCACAACTACTGAAGCCCGAGCGCCTAGAGCCCATGATCCGCAACAAGAGAGGCCACCTCAATGAGAAGCCCGTGCATTGCAACGAGGAGTAGTCCCCGCTCACCGCAACTAGAGAAAAGTCCATGCACAGCAATGAAGACTCAACACAGCCAAAAATAAATAAATAAAATTAAAATTAAAAAAATAATAATAATAAAGTATTAAAAAAAAAGAGACTCTGTGCTTTTACTGCAGGGAGCACAGGTTCAATCCCTGGTCAGGGAACTAAGGATCCTGCATGCCGTGAGGCAGTGGCCAAAAAGAAAAGCAGGACGAACAGCAATATAGAAAGATATTAGCATAAAGAACCAGCAGGATAAGAACACAAGCATTCCTAAACATCAGAAGAAACAATTTTTTAACTTTTGTTGAAATAATCAAAGAAAACAGTGAAAGACTCAGGGTAAATATAATACACATAATACATATAACATAAACTATTATGATAGAATTGAAATCAAATCTGTCAAATCAATAAATGCAAATGGCCCTAATTCACCTCTTAAAGAAAAGAAATTTTCAAATTGGCTCACAAAGCAAAATCCAATTCTTTGTCTGAGAGAAAGACCTAAAACAAAGTGATTCAAAAGTCTAAGAATGGGCAAAGAAATATTAGTCGAATGCAAACAAAACAAAGTAAGAGTTGTAATCTTAATATCTGGCTAGGTATAACATAGGACAAATGCATTAAATGAGAAAAAGAAAGATATTTTTATAATGCTAATGGCTACAATTAACAATAAAGATAGGGCTTCCTTGGTGGTACAGTGTTTGGGAGTCCGCTTGCCAACGCAGGGGACACAGGTTCGAGCCCTGTTCTGGGAAGATCCAACATGCCGCGGAGCAGCTAAGCTGGTGCACCACAACTAGTGAGTCTGCGCTCTCGAGCCCGTGAGCCACAACTACTGAAGCCCGTGCGCCTAGAGCCCGTGCTCCGCAACAAGAAGCCTGCGCACTGCAACAAAGATTAGCCCCCGCTCTCTGCAACTAGAGAAAGCCCGCATGCATCAGCGAAGACCCAGCGCAGCCAAAAATAAATAAATAAATTTATTTATTTTTTTAAAAAAAAAGAAATCTATTAAAAAAAACAATAAAGATAGAAACACACTAATATTGGGACATTATAACACAACAACTCTTGGTCCAAGTGGACAAAATGAGTGGACAAAAATGAGTAAGAAAATATAGGGACTAAACAGAATAATCAATAAGATAAATCTTCTGGGTATGAATCTAACTTCGAATCCTGATGAAATAGAATGTACTTTCAAATGCATGTGGAGAGAGTCCCAAAATCGAACGTATATTAGATCACAGGGAAAATTTTGATAAGTTCCATAAAGTAAAAATAATAAAAACAATATTCTCTGATCACAAGGTGATAAAAGTAAAAATGAATTACAAAATAAAAACCAAAAAGCTCTCCTACCTGGAAATTCAAAATCTATCTACTAAGGAATTCTTTAACCAAAAGGAAAGTACCAATGCGAACTGCAGAATTCTTCAAAAAATAAGGATAACCTGCATATCAAAATGTATAAGGTTCAGAATGGAGCTGAGCTAACATATAACATCAGAGGAATGATACTTCCCTCAAATACAGAAATACTCCAATAGCTTGCTCTCTACCTCTTCAAACTCTAACCATCCTCCCTGGCTGCACTCATTTAAGCATATGCCTTTCTTTTCTTTTTTTTAAAAAATAAATTTATTTATTTATTTATTTTTGGCTGCATTAGGTCTTCATTGCTGTGCGCGGGCTTTCTCTAATTGCGGTGAGAAGGGGCTACTCTTCATCGCAGTGCGCGGGCTTCTCATTGCGGTGGCTTCTCTTGTTGTAGAGCACGGCCTCTAGGTGCGTGGACTTCAGTTGTTGTGGTTCTCGGGCTCTAGAGCGCAGACTCAGTAGTTGTGGCACATGGGCTTAGTTGCTCTGTGGCATGTGGGATCTTCCCGGACCAGAGCTCGAACCCGTGTCCCCTGCATGGGCAGGCGGACTGTCAACCACTGCCCCACCAGGGAAAGCCCTGTCTTTTCTAACAAACTCTTATGTTTTGGAAGCAGGGACCCTGACTTTTTGCTCCACATCAAACCCCTCACAGTGCACACCTAGGACTACACATGGCATCTGGTATTTGTCAATCATACCTGTTGAAGATGTGAGCAGCCCAGCTGCCAGACTCCACAGACACTTGACCTTCGAAACCAAAAACCCTCCATTCAAACTGCCTCACCCACCTGCTGGGATTCAAAAGGTCCCTATGTGTTCGGTGTCTATGAGCTCCTCCATAGGAGAAAATAAACAATTGATATTTTCATAAAGATAGGATAATATGAAACATGCTGAGAGAACTCACTTGGGAATTTGTGGAAGAGGCTCAAGTGGAATAAATGTATCAAATTTCTTTTCATAAGGCATTCTGAAAAACAGAAAAGGCAACCAGAAGATTGGTGTGGTTTCTATGGCAAAGAGATCAATACATCATTGTGTTCAATAAAATGCCTTATTTTCTGGTTTTAATTGTTACGTATGGGCTTCAAAACTGTTAAGGGCCATAATTCTTATTATTTTTTTACCATTTTTAGTAAACATCATTAAAACAAACATGATTAATTTTTATTGAGGTATAGTTGATTTACAATATGTTTAAGGTGTATACATAGTGATTCACAATTTTTAAGGGTTATACTCCATTTATAGTTCTTATTAAATGTCAGTTATATTCCCTGTACTGTACAATATGTCCTTGTTGCTTATTTATTTATTTATTTATTTATTTATTGCTTATTTATTTTATACATAGTAGTTTGTACCTCTTAGTCCCCACCTCTGTCTTGCCCCTCCCCCTCCCACTAGTAACTACTAGTTTTTTCTCTATATCTGTGAGTCTGTTTCTGTTTTGTTATATTTACCAGTTTGTTTTACTTTTTAGATCCCACATATAAGTGATATCATACAGTATTTGTCTTTCTCTGTCTGACTTATTTCACTAAGCATAATACCCTCCAAGTTCATCCATGTTGTTGCAAATGGCAAAAATTGCGTTCTTTTTTACAGCCGAGTAATATTCCATTGTGTACATACACCACATCTTCTTTATCCATTCATCTGCTAATGGACACTTAGGTTGCTTCCATATCTTGGCTATTGGAAAAAATGCTGCTATGAACATTGGGGTGCACGTATCTTTTCAAATTAGTGGTTTTGTTTTCTTCGGAACATGATTGATTTTTTAAAATATTTTTATGTACTATATCAACTGTTTTCTCTTTTAATTTAATGACCCTCCATTTCTCCTCAATGCTTAGTCGCAAGTACAAGTCAATCCAAATAGTAGTCACTAATCAACAATCTGATTCAGTATGAAAACTGACGTCTTCATATTTGTTGATAATAACAGGAACAAAATTAACAACCACCTTTTTGTAGTCAAGATCCTGTGTATGATTTCAATTACACACATGTACATGTGCATACACTAAGGAACTAGGTACAGATTTTTTTAGAAATTCTCACCAAATATGTCTTGTTGAGATTCACCCCTTGTAAAATATAATTTATATGTAGTAGAAAGAAATACAGTTCCTTTAAAGTTAACTAAATAACCCTAGTATTAACATACACTTACATTGAAAAATTCCCTGGCGGGAGAGTTGATCCTGCTTTGTGGAAGCCTTTACTCTGTTCTGGACACATATATGGATTATCTCCTGGAGTTACCTTTGGGATTCCATTCCTGGGATCAATAACTGTGAATGGAGTTTGAAAACAAAATCATAAAAAGGGCTGAAGATGATCCACAGATTTGCTGTAAGAATTGACATGACAATGGAAACAGGATAATTTAGTGTTTTATTATGAGGTACATATAGGTATCTTAATGTTCTGTTTGTGATTGTCTCACCTTGAAGAGATGAAAAGTGTGAGCCTAAAATAAAATAAAATTAAAAATAAATTGTAAAAAAACAGATTAAAAAAACAAATAAAGTGCGAGCCTATGTTTGAGACGTTTTTTAAAAGGTGTTGTTGGGCTTCCCTGGTGGCGCAGTGGTTGAGAATCTGCCTGCCAATGCAGGGGACACGGGTTCAAGCCCTGGTCTGGGAGGATCCCACATGCCGCGGAGCAACTAGGCCCGTGAGCCACAACTACTGAGCCTGCGTGTCTGGAACCTGTGCTCCACAACAAGAGAGGCCATGAGAGTGAGAGGCCCGTGCACCACGATGAAGAGCGGCCCCCACTTGCCACAACTAGAGAAAGCCCTCGCACAGAAACGAAGACCCAACACAGCAAAAATAAATTAATTAATTAATAAAAGGTGTTGTTATGATTACCTCACCCTGGGAAAGAAGAATAGCTTAGGTTTGGATGGGATGTTTTGGTTTAAAATGAATGGTGAATCAAAAGTATCTGAAATGATTAGCATGAACTCTGACTTGAAATCTTTTCATTCCTGAACATTAGTGCACTTTGAATCCCTGAATCCCTCCGGGAATTAGCAGCTCTAATTGGGGCTCTGCCTCTCCGACTGGGTCTCAGGAGGAAATCAACTAATAAGGGTTCTGCTACTCCTTCTGACTCAAAGACTAGGGTAGTGTAGCAGTAGGAGGTGGCCTTCCTGGTGAAGAGGAGTCACGAAAAAGTCTACTGATGCTGAGCAAACACTGCTTCCTCAGCCCATGCTCTGACACCCAACCCAGCCGCTTCCAACGCCCCAGGAATAAGTAACTAACCACATGGAGTCAGCCTGGTACAGGTTTAAACTAGGTTTAAACCTGCACCTCTTTAAACTGCACCTAGTTTAAACTAGGTTTAAACCTGCACCCCTTACACCAGATGCATCTCCTAAGGGAATAATCCTGGACTGCAAGACTAACCACCTTGGGATCAGAAGCAAGGATGCATGGCTGGAAGCACAACCTCCTTCTTTGCTCACACACCCAATGAACAGGACCCTCTTCTTAATTTTTAAATGCTTGTTTTGATATTGCTCCATTCACCTGTACTCACAAGATACAAGCCAAAGGGAGAGCTGGGGAAGATTTTGAATAAGCTGTTTCCTACCTGCCCAAATTTCTCTAGCTAACTCAGAAAAGCCATTTGCACAATTGGTGGAAGTACTTGAGTTACTGGAGTACTTGATTTTTTAATTTTCTATTTTTTACTCTTTCAAAACCCTTTTCAATAGCTAAGACTCTTCAGCTAAACTTTTTATTAGCTCTTAAGTGCAGGGAAATAACATCAACTACATCTGTACATTGAGTGCTTCCTGAGGATGAAATGCTGAGGATTCAAAGCAAGGAGAGTGGAGTGACCCTATCTTTTGAAACCCAAACCAGGGTACTGACAAGTAAAGGTCAGGTGACAATAAGAAGTGGTGAGAAGGGCTTGAACTGTGAAATCAGTCACGCCTGAGTCCATGAGTCCAAATTCAGTTCTGCAATTTCTAGTTCTGTGCCCTTGGGCAGTTTAACTTCCCTAAGCCTTAGAATCCTCATTTATAAACTGTTTATTTCAAATGTCTACTTTGCATAGCTATCATGAGTACTGAATGAGAATAATCTGTATACATAATCAGCACTCAAGAAATGGTAGCACCCTGTTTGGGGAAAGTATCCTAGGAACTTGTTTGGAAAACCAGAGCTTTTTGAAGAATGCACTAACCATTCTGTCTCTAGACTGCTCTTCTAATCTACAGATCCTGGACTTGGGCTGCAGCATTTCCAGCATCCAGCCAACCCTTCAGACTGGTCCCCACAATCCGAATTAGCAAGAGCCAATTCCTTAGCATCTACCCAGTGGCTACTGTTTGTCCTGAATTCAGTGGTTTTTGTATATTGACAAGACTCCTTGGTTTGTCTCAAGTCTGAAGTCAAGGGGAGATTCTGTCAGCAACCAAGGACCTCTCTGTTCAGTCCTGAACAGGTTTTTCCTTCAACTGCATGGCTTATCCCTATACTTGTGCTACTAAATGTATAAAGGTATAATCTAAGTTGTTTAATATATATCGTGCAATGTTTAGTATGTTGCACCCTTAAAGCTATCTATCCATTTATCTTTATTTCAAAAATCTGAACATAGGGCCAGCATATACTTCTGTTCCATATTTAATGGTGAAATTTAAACGTCAATAAATAAAAATAGTATACCCACGTAATGCTTAAAAAAAAGAAATGGGGACTTCCCTGGCAGTCCAGTGGTTAGTTAAGACTGCGTTTCCACTGCAGGGGGCTCAGGTTCGATCCCTGGTCAGGTAACTAATATCCCACATGCCACATGGCATGGCCAAAAAAAAAAAAAAAGAAATGGTAGCAGTTGTTATTATTATTTGAAATTAGGACTAGGCTAATACCACCCGCATCCCAATTTTTTTTTTTTTTTTTTTTTAGGTACGCGGGCCTCTCACTGTTGTGGCCTCTCCTATTGCAGAGCACAGGCTCCGGACGCGCAGGCTCAGCAGCCATGGCTCACGAGCCCAGCCACTCCGCGGCATGTGGGATCTTCCCGAACCGGGGCACGAACCCGTGTCCCCTGCATCGGCAGGTGGACTCTCAACCACAGTGCCACCAGGGAAGCCCCCAATTTTTTTTTTTTAATCTGGAAAATTCAAGGTTAGAGAATAGGGAATCTTATCTAGTTGGGAAGACAAGACAATAAAAACATTAAAGGGAAGGAAGGAAGGAAGGGAGGGAGGGAGGGAGGGAGGGAGGAAAAGGAATAATAAACACAAAATTCAGGACAATGTTTACTTTCGAGTTAGGAGGGAAGTGATGGGTTAGGGTTAGGATTTGGATCATCATGATAATCTCATTTACTTTTGATACGTACTTGCAGTTGGCCCAGTTCTGGCCAGTGAGACACGAGTGGAAGGAAGTTTCCCAAGGACCATATGGGAAAACTTTTCCTTCCTTCTAAAAGGGGAAGGCAACAAGAGATTTTCCTCTTTTTCATGTCTTGAATATAAAAATGATTCTTGGAACTGCGACAGTTATCTTGTGACCATAAGGTGACAAGCATCAAGACAAGAAAATCCAACACTACGAAGAATGGTAACACACACACAAAAAGAAACAAAACGAGCCTACATCTTTGATGACATCACTGGGCAACCAGACTATATAGGTCACCTAGCTGTCGAAGCTTCTTGTTAATTACATAATAAATATCTTATGATTTAAGTCTGTGATAATTTGATTTTTCTCTTACTTGTAGCCAAGAGCATGCCTAAGCAACAGAAAGCTAAACTTAATCCCTTCTGGATTTTTCTCAGTTGTTTTCATACATAAACCAGTTAAATAAATCCTTCCTGAGAATTCCCTGGCGGTCCGGTAGTTAGGACTCTGTGCTTTCACTGCTGTGGCCCGGGGTTCAATCCCTAGCTGGGGAACTAAGATCCCACAAGCTGCGCAGTGTGGCCAAAATAAATAAATAAATAAAAATTAAAAAATAAATCCTTCCTGTTCCACCCTATGGCTGCATCTCAATTAGGAGCGGGAAGTCAGCCCTGGTCCGGGAAGATCCCACATGCCACAGAGCAATGAAGCCCGTGTGCCACAACTACTGAGCCTGAGCTCTAAAGCCTGTGAGCCACAACTACTGAGCACACGCGCCACAACTACTGAGCCCACGTGCCACAACTACTGAGCCCACGTGCTGCAACTACTGAAGCCTTGGTGCCCGGCGCTCATGCTCCGCAACAAGAGATACCACTGCAATGAGAAGCCCGCATACCACAACGAAGACCCAACGCAGCCGAAATATAAATTAACTAATTAATATTTTTAAAAAAGAATGCACTTTTAAAAAAAAGAGAATCTAAAGTACGATTTAAATGCATATGACAGGCAGCATTTAATTAAAACCTGAATTATTTTCCTCGGACTTCAGTGGAGGTTTCTATTAATAAGTATCTGAGAGAACTTATCTGATGACTTAAATGTCACATTAGCATTTTATGAAATCCAGAGAAAAACAAAAATGTAGATCAGCATATGTTGTGAGTTCTATGCCAAAAAGTGCAATCTGCCAACCATCCCCTTCACTTTCCTATCTTCCTGGCTGCACTTGGGTGACCTGGTGACCCCGCAGGGCTGCCCCCAGCCACGTGATGCTGGGCCTGCAGAATCATGACTCAGGAGTATTTTTGAACATTGCATAGTTAAGGTCCAGGAGGAAAACATTACCATATTTCTTCCTCCCAAAGCACTTGTCCATCGTCCTCTCTGATAGAGACCTCCTGTTGCCGAGGAAGACCCCGTTGAAGAAACACTGCTTTCCAACATGGTAGGTGTGGATGTTGCTGCTAAGCCTTGGGTAAAATGTCCACTCAGGACGCTGCCCATCTTCTGCAAGACATCAGAAATCCTTCCATCAGCACTGCTCCCAGCGTCACAATGTAGTTGGATGACAAAACACTGTGAACCGCCCCCCAGGCACTATCTGGCTATAATGTGTATAATTCTATCTGACTATAATGTGTATAACGTGTATAATTCCCTGGTTCTACATCGAGGGCAGTGTCAGACTCTGTGGAACTAGGCACAAAAGGCAGGGAAGTAGGAAGAAAGCTGTCTAAGAGGGCTCTCTTTTTTTCCCTTTTTACCCTCCCCTTCAAAAATAAAGCCAGTTTTATGGTTGGAAGTGATGTATGGGTTAGGAAGCTCAGAGACAGTTTTACAACCACCTACAATCCAACCTTTCTCTAATAAGTGTGTAGGAAGAACAGAATGCCCATCAACCAGGGAAGGGCTGGAACACCCATGGCATCTTAACCGGATGATACATGGCGTTGGCAGCAACAGTGGCACATGCATGCACTACAGTGACACAGGGAAATGTGTACATACGATTATGACCAAGGAGAAAGGCCGCTGTGAGACCTTAGGCTAGTTACTGGACCTCTCAGTGTCTCTGTTTCCTCATTTGACCCTTTTCCTGTAAAATGGCTAAAGTGATTTTAAACAATAAAAGATCGCCTGACAGCTCTAGGGTTGCTTAAGAAACTCTTGTGCTCTTTGGTGGCCGAGAAGGAACACAGGCTTTGGAAGCAAGCAAGTTTGGGTTCTAATCCCATCCCTTCATTTCCTAGGTTCGTGTACTCGTATGGGTGACTGAATCTCTCCAAGCCCCAGTTTCCTTCTGTGTAAAATGGGTAGGTCTGTATTAGCCACATAGGTCTATATGTTTTTTGTTTTTTGTGGGGTTTTTTTTGCAGTACGCGGGCCTCTCACTGTTGTGGCCTCTCCCGTTGCGGAGCACATCCTCCGGACGCACAGGCCCAGCGGCCATGGCTCATGGGCCTAGCCACTCCGCAGCCTGTGGGATCTTCCTGGACCAGGGCACGAACCCGTGTCCCCTGCATCGGCAGGCGGACTCTCAACCACTGCGCCACCAGGGAAGCCCCGGTCTATACATATTGACAAAGAAAGAGGTCCATGATCTATTTACTTTGAGTGAAAATAATTTGTGTACTATTTTCTACTAGTGAAAATAATTTGTGTATTATTTTCTACTAGTGAAAATATGGTGGTATATTACAAGCAATAAATATATATATATACAAACATACATATATATAAACGTATACATACATATATACATTTCAAAATTCTCAAAGAATATATATCAAACTCTTCACAGCTATGGGGCAGAATGGGAAGATTATTGGAGAATATTGGGGTATGGGTTTTTATACTCTACATACTTATTTATTGTTTTAGTATTTTGCTACAGTACATTTATGGTTTTTACATAAAAGCATTTTATTTTTGCAAAACACATAAAAATAGTTGCCCAGCAGAGTTGTTGTGAGTATTAGAGGTGAAGTGTGTTGAATGCCTGGCACCTAATGGGCCTTCAGTGAATGGCACCCAACAGTATGGCAGCCTTCTGCAAAGACCCTGGGAGTGGAGGAGGACCTATGACTTACTCACTTGTCTGCAACTTAAGCAGGCTGAATTCCTGGCGATATTTATCCTTTCGGGCTTCAGGCAGTGAGGTTTCAGAGGAGTGATCAGAATGTGAGGAGGAGGATTTCAGATCCGAATCTGCAGCAGGGCTGGAAAGGAAGCAGAAGGATTAGATTCTTCAATGTGCTTAAATTGGAAGTTAGAAGCTGATCTTACACTAGAATTCCCCTCATCTATGAGAACTAAGACTACTCCTCGATAAAAGTCCATGAGCATATAATTTATATATTCACAATTTGAGGGGACTGAAATATATTCAAAAGGTGCATGCTTAAACAGTTTAGTGTCCAAAAGTTAAATATAGAATTATTGGGGAACTTCCCTGGTGGTCCAGTGGTTAAAAATCCACCTTCCAATGCAGAGGACGTGGGTTCGATCCCTGATGAGGGAACTAAGATCCCACATGCAACTGATGAGTTCCCTGATGAGGGAACTAAGCCCACACGACGCAACTAGAGAAGCGCATGCGCCGCAACAAAGAGCCCATGCTCTGCAACGAAAGAAAAGATCCTGCATGCTGCAACAAAGATCCCACATGCTGCAACTAAGACCCAACGCAGCCAAATAAATAAATATTTTTAAAAAATTATCATATAACCCAGCAATTCCACTCCTGGCATATACCCAAAAGAACTGAAAACAGACCCTCAAACAGATACTTATACAAGAATGTCCACTGCACCATTACTCATAATAGCCAAAAGGTGGAAATAACCCAAATGTCCATTGATAGATGAATGGATAAATAAAATGTAGCGTATACATGCAATGGAATATTATTCAGACATAAAAAGGAATGAAGTTCTGATATATTCTACGACATGGAAGAATCTTGAAAACATTATGCTAAGTGAAATAAGCCAAACACAAAAGGACAGATATTGTATTATTCCACTTATATGAAATATCTAGAATAGGTAAATTCATAGAGACAGAAAGTAGATTAGATTAGATTAGAGTACCAGGAAATGGGGAGAGGGGAGAATGGAGAATCACTGCTTAATGGGCACAGAGTTTTCTGTTTGGGGTGATGAAAATGTTTTGAAAATAGTAGTGATAGTTGCACAGCAGTGTGAGTATAACTTAATGCCACTGAATTGTACACTTAAAGTGGATAAAGTGGCAAACGTCCTGTTACATAATTTTTACCACAATTTTTAAAAAAAATGAATGATGCGAATTCCCTGGCAGTCCAGTGGTTTGGACTCTGTGCTCTCACTGCCGAGGGCCTGGGTTCGATCTCTGGTCAGGGAACTAAGATCCCACAAGCCATGCGGTGTGGCCAAATAAATAAATATAAAAATTAAAATTAAAACATAAATAAATAAAATAAAAATTAAAAATGCGTGATATACTGATACATGTTACAACATGAATGAACCTTGAAAACATTAGGCTGAATAAAAGAAGCCAGACACCAAAGACCAGATACCGGTGATTCCATTTATATGAAACACCCAGAACAGGTACACCCATAGAGATAAAATAGAGATTAGTGGTTTCCAGGGCTGGGGGGATAGGGGACATGGGGGTGACTGCTAAAGGGTACAGGATGCTTTTGGGGGGTGACAAAAATGTTCTAAAATTGACTGCGGTAATGATTGCACAACTCTGTGAATACACTAAAAACCATTGACTTGTACACTTTAAACCGGTAAATTATATGGTATGTGAATTATGCTTCAAATAAAACTGTTACCAAAAAAGATACGTTTTCAATTAAACCATTGACTGGAAAGAAAAAAATCAGTCAGTATAAAGAGAAGAGGCAGAAATAATCAAAAACAAACCTAGACTGAAATGGCTGTAATAACAGAGCATTATGTTTAGTGCCTAACTTCTTGGCAGTTAAAAAGGCCTACAGCAAACTATTGTGCGTGTCAACAGAAAAAGCAATCACTTCTGGTCTAAGTGGCCTTGCATTTGATAGATGGCCTTGGACAATGCTTTCAGATGTAGTTAACTGTTATCAAGTCATAGGATCTTTTTTCATAATATTACATCACCCTGATATTTGAATCGTTTCAAACCAACTTCATACTGATAGTCTTGTTTGCTCCCTACAAACATCCTGTGATATAGGTGGGGCCAATAGAATCATTTCCATTTGCAAGGGAAATGGGCCCTCAAGGCAGCTAACGATAAAACACACCCCAGACAGAGGCAGAGCTGGATCTCCAGGTTAAGTCTAGACTATGTTGCCTAAAAGTCATAAAGAACCCGAGTTCCATAACTCACAAGTCTTGTATAGCTCGATCTCTACTTTGTTTTTTTTTAATCTATTTTATTATTCTCATTATTATTTTTAATTTATTTTTGGCTGCGTTGGGTCATCGTTGCTGCACGTGGGCTTTCTCTAGTTGCGGCGAGCGGGGGCTACTCTTCGTTGCAGTGCGCGGGCTTCTCATTGCGGTAGCTTCTCTTGTTGCGAAGCACGGGCTCTAGGCACACCGGCTTCAGTAGTTGTGGCGCGTGGGCTCAGTAGTTGCAGCTTGCCGGCTCTAGAGCGCAGGCTCAGTAGTTGTGGCACACGGGCTTAGCTGCTCCGCAGCATGTGGGATCTTCCCGAACCAGGACTCGAACCCGTGTCTCCTGCATTGGCAGGCAGATTCTTTTTTTTTTTTTTAACATCTTTATTGGAGTATAATTACTTTACAATGGTGTGTTAGTTTCTGCTGTATAACAAAGTGAATCAGTTATACATATACATATATCCCCATATCTCTTCCCTCTTGCGTCTCCCTCCCACCCTCCCTATCCCACCCCTCTAGGTGGTCACAAAGCCCCGAGCTGATCTCCCTGTGCTATGCGGGGCTGCTTTCCACTAGCTATCTATTTTACATTTGGTAGTATATATAAGTCCATGCAGGCGGGTTCTTAACCACTGCGCCACCAGGGAAGTCCTCGATCTCTAGTTTTTAATAAACATATCTACACTAATAACTTTGAACTTTTGAAGTGTGCAGATAGAGCAAAAATGCAACAACTCAGAGTCCCCCTCCCAGTTCAAAGCGTATCATAATTTTGACACTGGGGTGAAATATGTCTCTTCTAAATATTTTTTATGTATTTGTGTTTGCCAAACAAACTGTGTAGAAAAGATTGCAAGGATAAAGGAAACTTTCCGAAAGAACTTTAGAAATATCCACCTACTTTGTTTTACTCAACAAACATTTAGCTGAGTATATTTTGTGGCAGGCATTGCTCTAGACACCGGGGGTCCAAACAGTCCCTCTCGGGAGCTTAGGCTCAAGGGGAAGAGGACATGGACAGATAAACAGATGATTGTGGAAGAGTGAGTAAATGCAGAGTTGGAGAAAGCAGGTTTTGCAAAAAAGTAGTATAATATGATATTAATTGTGAAAAATAAATACATATTTCTATGCATAAGAAAGAAATCAATTTTTTCTCATGCATATAAAAAAATAAAATGTTAACATTGATTCCCTAAGAGATAAGATTATTGTGACTGTTATTTTTAATACTGTTTTTTATATTTTCAAAATTTCTACAACGAACTTAAATTACTTTCTTTATAACAAAAATTGTTAGAAAAAGGTTTTCAAAACATTTGACCATAAAAGAAATATAAACAAAGTACAGAATACTTTTTTTCTAAATACAGTTTTACAAATAATTTTAAGGCCAACATCCGCGAGAAGAAATAAAGCATGGCCAGCCCTTTCCTCCCATTCCCCAAAAACCATCTGTGTGTCCCTTTCCCAGAGAGGTAACCACTGTCCTGACTCTGACTGTTATGGTAATCATTTCTTTGATTTTCTTTAAGATTTATCACCTGTGTATGTATGTATGTATTCCCAAAAAATATGTAGTTTAATTTCACCTTCATAACAGCCAGCACTTGCACAGCCTGTATTGTATGCCAGGGAGTCTTCTAATCTCTTTACAGTGTATGTATTACCTCATTTAATCCTCACAACTGTGAAGTATTACCCCCATTTTGCAGATAAGAAAGCTTCACCAGGGAGGTGAAGTAATTTGCCCAAATTCACTCAGATGCCAAGTGACAGAGTAAGATTTGAACCCAGTCTGGCTCCAGAATCCATGCTCTTGCCAAATATGTCACACTACCCCTCAGACTGTTGGCCCCCTGGTCAGAATTGACCCCAGCGTTTACAGCTCTTCCCTGGACCCTTACTTACTCTGGGTGAACAGACCCTCTGCCGGTGCTGAAAGGCCCACTGACGCTTAGACCTGTTTCAATAGAAGATGAGGGGCTGACACTTCTGCCAGAGGACATTATGTTGGCAAAGCATCCCTTAGATTCCAGAAAATAATTGAGTTTAGTACCTGCAACACATAGATATCACCATTTGATTACATTCATGAAAATACCTCCCACTTTATCTTGTTTCCTAGACGATAAATAATTTCTTTTTAAAAAATAACATTTGTGGGAGTTCCCTGGCAGTCCAGTGGTTAGGACTCAGCACTTTTACCACCATGGCCCAGGGTCAATCCCTGGTCAGGGAACTAAGATCCCACAGGCTGCATGGCGTAGCCAAAAAAAAAAAAAGTTTGAGCATTTACTGTATACTTGAGATTGTGTTAACATCTTCACACATTATCTCATTTAATTCTCATAACAACGCACAGACAGAAGTATTACTTATCCTTCCATTTTACAGATGAGAAAACTGAGGCTCAGAATGTTGAGCAACCAAGACCACATAGAAAATAAACATGTTGGCCCAGGTTGGATCACAGCTCCTATAACACTAAAGTCTAAAAAGGCTAACTTCTGTGTTAGATTGCTTGTCCCCCGGCCACATAGTTCACCTACTCTAACTAAACTAAGTGGAAGAAAGAAGGTCTGAATTGAGCTATATATCACTGTACATTGTATTGAGCATCTCAAGAAAACTTCCCCAAAGGATTTATTCATAGAACGACTAGCGAGTATAGCTGGTGATCACAATCCAAAGAACTGTCTTCAGAACTTCTACGGGTTCCCCTCCCACCGCAGTGTCATCATTCTTTTATATCACATCTTCCCCACCAGACTGTGTCTTATTCATCTTAGTAGCACTCAGAGCAGTGCTTGGCACAAATAGATACTCAATAAATGTTTGAGTGAATAAATGGCAAAGCATTATAACTCCCCAACCACCCACGATTACAAGTCCTGAAACCCAAGGACAGTCAGATAGAGAAGCACACCCACCGTCTTCACTCTGCTGTACAATGACTCCTATGCGAAAGTCAATCTGTTCTCTCATCATTTTATATAGGTGTGTGCGTTGTCCAGTCACTTAAAAAAAAATCAGATGACTGGATATTGCACTTCTTTATGCACACCTTCAGAGAGCACAGATGCTCCACAGATAAAATGTAAGCTCTCGGTTATAGGAGAATTTTAAGAAACAAGAGTCGGACTTCTCTGAGTCTGGAGTACATTTTTAGACTGACTGCTGTTCCACCTACACAGTATCATGATTCACATGTATGTGGCATATGCCAGGCACCTGGGCAAATTCCCACCATCTGTCAGAGGAACTGACCCTTAGCCAATTCTTTATTCGTTTCCTATCAACACCCTCTCAAATTCATCTATCAAGCGAATCATATTTTTTCCACCTTTGTCAAGTCCCAACCCTACCACCAAACCCTTTACTCTTAAGAGGACTTTGCCTATGACTCTACAAAGTTTAAAGGCCAGCTGAGCTACTTCCTCCCCTCACAATACCCCCATCCTGGGGTTTCTCAGGGTAAGGACTGTTGCATACAGAGTTAACAAAAAAAAAGACGCGGGTGGGGGAAGGAAGATAAAAACAAAAACAAAATAACAAAAAATATAATAAGTAATTTAAAAATACAGATTCCCAAATCCCATTACAGACCCATCAAACTGGAATCTCGTGTGGTGAAGCCTGGGAACCCACATTTTTAATAAGTCTCCCTCTACCTCTTAGGCTCATGCTTGGCAGTGAACTTCCTCCTCTTCAAGCCCAGTTCCATCACTGCCCTGCATTCCATCCTGTCCCTCTTCCTGACTCCCTATATGTGTCCAGTCATGAAAATCACCTTGAGGCACTTGTTCAACATGCAGATTCCAGGGCTCTGACCCAGACCTACAGGGGACAACCCGAGAATCAGTATGTTTAAGAAGCACCTCAGGGGACTTCCCTGGTGGCACAGTGGATAAGACTCTGCACTCCCAATGCAGGGGGTCCAGGTTCAATCCCTGGTCAGGGAACTAGATCCCGCATGCGTCCCGCAACTAAGAGTTCACATGCCACAACTAAGGAGCCTGCGCGGCCCAACCAAGACCCGGTGCAACCAAATAAATATTTTAAAAAATAAAAAGAAGCACCTCAGGTGATTCTCAGAGCCAGCCAAGTGTGGGAAGAGCTGCTCTGGAACACGGCACAGAGCCTAGAGCAGCCCTCGGTACATGAGGGCCAACTGGTTGCTTGAGGGGTGAGTAGCTGGGATGCAGTGGAGCCCAGTGGAGGGCAAAGCTGTGAAGAGAGAGCACAGGTCCGCAGCAGCCCCGGACACGGAACCACAAATGTGGTGTCAATGAATACAACACAGACCCCACTCTCTGACCACAATGCAATACTATTAGAAATCCATAATAAAAAGACAGCCAAAAAACATCCATAAGCTTGGAAACTCAAACCACACCTCTAAGTATTTCATATGATAGAAGAAAACATAACGGAACTCATGAGGTACTTAATGATCAATGACATATGTACAATATATCAAAACTGTGGGACTCAACTAAAGCAGTAATTAGAACCTAGAACCTTAAATGCATAAACTGTATTTTACTGAATGTAAGACACTGTAATAATATTACTATTCTATGTACCACAAAGAACAGAGGCTGCCAATTAAATTATGACACATGCTTTATCACTTAGCACTTTCACTTAATACCTATTGAAGCACCATTTCAGACTTACTTAGATATAGATTTTAATCACATATCACTCGTGTGCATATTTAAAGAAGGAAAATATAAGCAAAATCAATTGGTTAAGGGGCTTCCCTGGTGGCGCAGTGGTTGAGAGTCCGCCTGCCGATGCAGGGGACGCGGGTTCGTGCCCCGGTCCGGGAAGATCCCACATGCCGCGGAGCGGCTGGGCCCGTGAGCCATGGCCGCTGGGCCTGTGCGTCCGGAGCCTGTGCTCCGCGGCGGGAGAGGCCACGGCAGTAAGAGGCCCGCGTACCACAAAATAAATAAATAAATAAATTGGTGAAGGCATTCTTAAACCTTACATTCAAAAGTCTGATTACTGAATCACTTTTCAACTCAACCCCTAAAGGTCACATTTTCCACCTAAATTGACCTCACGCCTGCATTATTCAGTGCTCATCCAGCAAAGTTTATGACAGTTACTTTACATGGGCTACTGGGCCCACAGCACCGGTAAGACCAATCCAATTTCAGAGACACAAACTGTGAAAAATATCTATCTTACAAGTAACAGGTTATAGTGTTAAAAAACAAAGATTCCAAAATTAATGACCTAAGCTTTCAATTCAAGGAATAAGGGGAAAAAAGGCAAACATCTCAAAATGATAAGGAAAGAAATCATAAAATAAAAGCAGAAATGAATGAAATAAAGAAGATTATCAGAATTATGGCTTCATGGAAAAACTAATAATGTAGATAAAGTTCAAGAAAAAAATCTTAATACAAGTAAACAGTATAAGAAATGAAAGAGAAGCCATAATTACAAATAAAATAGAAATAACTTTACCCATAAAGAAATTGAGTACGAGAAATATCAAATAACTTGCTCAAGGTTACAGAGCAATGGAGTATAATTTATAAAATGTAGTTTAGGGCTTCCCTGGTGGCGCAGTGGTTGAGAGTCTGCCTGCTAATGCAGGGGACACAGGTTCGAGCCCTGGTCTGGGAGGATCCCACATGCCGCGGAGCGACTGGGCCCGTGAGCCATGGCTGCTGAGCCTGCGCGTCTGGAGCCTGTGCTCCACAACAAGAGAGGCTGCGATAATGAGAGGCCTGCGCACCGAGATGAAGAGTGGCCCCCATTTGCCACAACTAGAGAAAGCCCTCGCACAGAAACGAAGAACCAACACAGTCATAAATAAATAATTAAAAAAAAAAATGTAGTTTAATGTTACTGACACACACCCTGACAGATAAATCAATAGAATAGCAAATGTAGATAGAATAAAATTTTATGTGATAACAGTGGCATCTTATCTCAGTGAAGAAAGGATAGATCATTCAAAAAAGATTGCTGGAACAACTAATTAATCATTTGGCATGAAAATAAAATGAAATCTCTCTTACCCCAAAATAAATTCCAAATGAATTATAAATTTGAATGTAAAAATGAAAAGATATACCTGAAAAATTATAAGTGAATGTTTACATAATGTCAGAGTGGCGAAGTTATTTCTAAGAAAGATATCAAATACAGGCAAAATAAAAGAAAGATGCATAGATTAAATACATATACATTTAAAACTTCCATAGCAAACTCTAAACTGGGAGGAAATTTATAACATACACGATAAGAGAAAGAGTTAATAATCATGACAAAGTATGAGTTTTTTAACATTTGTAAGATGAAAATAAATACCCAAGAGAAAAAAATGGGCAAAAGACATTATTAGGTAATTCATTAAACACACACACCCAAATAGCCTACGTACGTTTGGAAAAAAAAGTTCATCCTTACATTAGTAAAAGAGCTGAACTTAAAATGAGATACTATTATTCACTATCACTTTGCAAATACCCACAGCTGGCACAGCTTGGAGAAATGGCATTCTTGTACATTGCTGCTGAAAATATCTCCATCTCACTGAAGAACAAATTGGCCATTTACGTCCTCCAAAGCCTATGAGAAGTGCCCTTTGCATCCAAGGTTCTACTTCTACAAACACATCTATGGAAAAAGGGGTGAAATGTATGTATAAGGATGCAGAAGGGACCCACACATGTAGAGAAAAAATAAGATCAAGGGCAGAGATGTCTTCTAGGTTGAGACCTGTATGTCAGTTCTGAGTTACTTATCATAGCATCTACTTATGATAGTATTTGTCCAGAGGTTTTAACAGGGGCTGCCTTTTCATAGCCCGGAAATATTTTATATTGTATATTGTATCGGCCACTAGAGGACAGGAGAGCTCATCAAAGCAGGGATTGGCTGCTAGGGATGGTATCAGAGGGGGCCCCTCACAAGATTTTGGGGTTTGTTTTTTTAATTTGAGGGGCAAAATGTAAATGTATTATGCGACCTTGAGTAGCATGCAATGAAATCACATCTACAAGTGTAGCCTATTTCTTTGTTTGCTTAGAAGTTTCGTGCTGGCAACACTCTAGAAAGTGGCCTATGGTTGCTGTAAGAGCAGACTTGTCTGACCGGCCAGGGCAGGAAGAGCAGTGGCTCTGCTCAAATGACACATTCTCCAGAGCCAGCTAACTTCCGGGTCTTCCTAGTAGTAATTCAGCCTCAAACATGACCTAGAGACACTTAAGCATGACCTCAGGCTGCCCCTCCACATCTCCTCAGGTAGGAGAAGATGACTGGAAATGCAAGTCTGAACCCACCCATTCTGAAACTGATGTTCCCACTGTGTAGAGTAACATTGAGTTACTTTCAGCAAGTCAATGACCTGTCGTGCCCAGCTCCCATTGCGTATCCCACCTCTCTATCTAGCACTGTAGGCTGGGGTGAGGCACTGTAACCTAAGGAACGTCCTTCTCGAAAGGGTCACCATTCATCTTGAGAATTGTTACTCAAATGCAATTAAAATCCAGTGAGTCATAAGATAGAAAATCCTAACAAGTCGCTAAAACTCTATGAAATATGAAAAGATGGTCCAACCTTAAGGACCAAGAGAAGGTTCTGATGACTAGAAAGGAATCAGAAAAGAAAAAGAAGTTTAGAAAATGTCTGTTTCTGGGACTTCCCTGGTGGTGCAGTGGTTAAGAATCCGCCTGCCAATGCAGGGGACACAGGTTCGAGCCCCGCTCCGGGAAGATCCTACATGCCGTGGAGCAACTAAGCCTGTGTGCCATATCTACCGAAGCCCGCGTGCCTAGAGCCCGTGCTCCGCAACAAGGGAAGCCACTGCAATGAGAAGCCCGCACATCGCAACAAAGAGTAGCCCCCGCTCATGGCAACTAGAGAAAGCCCACGCACAGCAAGGAAGACCAAACACAGCCAAAATTTAATTAATTAATTTTTTAAAAAAAGATAGAAAGTCTGTTTCTTCGGTAACAGCTGTGGAATTCACGATAATTATTTCCATTTCTTTAGGCAGGAATAACACCTTACATAACCAAGGCTCTTTCACACAACTGTCATCTCAGCAGATTTACACCATAGCACTGTCTGGTGGGAAGAAAATAATACAGCAAGCCAAGTTAGCTTAATGTGGGTACTCTTTAACCAAACACTCAGTTTCCCATCCCTGCTTATCTGCTCAACAAACAAACTAAAGATCTAGGATGGTGGTTTTTAACCCTTTTTTGGATCACAGACTCCCCCAAGAATTAATGAAAGCAGTGGGCCCTCTCTGCTGGAAAAATGCATATATCCCCACAGTTATGCTCAGCTGGTTCATGGAGCTCCTTTCCTTCCTGAAACCCATGGGCTCCACGTGAAGCTGAGCTCAGATGTGGTCTCCTGAGTAGACACACCTACGCGGCAGAAAAAGAAGCCATGGATCTTTGGTTAATGTGGTCTGGAGATCTCAGATGCTGGTGCTCTTCCAGTACCCCTAACTCAGAAACCTGAAGCCCCTCCACCCACCCTTAAAACAGCAGGTCCCTCCTCTATCCCCCTGGTCAACCTGAAAACTGCAGAAAGGTCTGGAGCTTAAAGCTAGAATCCCAGAACCTTTTTCTCCTTGCTGAACTAGCCACGTTGGGCAATGAATGGCTCAAACTCCTACCGCTCTACCGGCGCCCGCTTGTAGGTGGATAGTAAATCATACCTCCATCCTCTCCCAGCACTTACAAATTAAGAGATTACAGACCTGGAACACAGGAGACCAGAGACCAAGCTCAGATCTGATGGGACAGATGCAGAGCATTCTACAATCCCTTTTTGCAGCATGAAGGCCACCCACCTGTATGTACTCACTCAGAGGTTTTCTGACAGACTGTCGCTGCTCTGCTCCATGGCACTGTTCTCTGAAGGCAAATGCGCTCCCTAACATCCTCCTCAGCCTTAAGAACCAATCATGCCATCCATTATTTAATTTAAACCTTTCATTAAAGTGTTCATAATTTCCACCTGAGTTGTCCCATCCAATACACAATGCCACAAATCTAGTATATGAGCAAAGAAAAAAAAAAAGAAGAAGAAAGGTCCTGGGCTTTGTAGACCGTAAGACTCATGTCAAATCCCAGTTTCATCGTTTATTGACTGAAGCACTGGGCAGGTCAAACCTCTGGCCCCCATTACTCTTTGTAATATACCTCTTGGCTGTTAGGAGATCCGGGGAGGTCACTTATGAAAGCTCTGCTTTGATGCCGCTCTCTGCCTTATCAGATCTTGGGTCTGATGCTGCTCTCTGCCTTATCAGATCTTCGGTTAATACAGACAGTATTAATACAAGTAGTTCTTTTTACATGCTCCCAAACTAGCCTCCTTTTAAACTTTAACAATGCCTTCTTGGGCTTCCCTGGTGGCACAGTGGTTAAGAATCCACCTGCCAATGCAGGGGACATGGGTTCAAGCCCTGGTCCAGGAATGATCCCACATGCCGCAGAGCAACTAAGCCTGTGTGCCACAACTACTGAAGCCCGCGGGCCTAGAGCCTGTGCTCCGCATCAAGAGAAGTCACCGCAATGAGAAGCCCGCGCACTGCAATGAAGAGGAGGCCCCGCTCACCACAACTAGAGAGAGCCCACGCAGCAACGAAGACCCAACGCAGCCAAAAATCAATAAGTAAAATAAATTAATTAATTTTTTAAAAATGCCTTCTCACTCTAGTGTACTTGGATAGGGCAACAAAATCCCACCCAGCCCTCCTGATTTTTTAAACTCAACTGTATCTCCACTCTCCTGTGGTCATGCCAGAGTCTCCTTTCTCTTGAACCTTCTCCAGCTCACTGCTGCAGATCGCTGTGTAGATGGGGGGGAGTTGACAGCCCCGTGGACAGTTTCCAGTGTCCATGGACGGAGCTATGCATGTGTCGGTTTTAAATATTAAAAGCAACCTGGAGACAACGAAAAGACCTTTGTAAGAAAGGCATCAGTCAAAACAAACAGAAACTCCACGGGCCATTGAAAGTCAGGCGGGCAGGGTTGGCCTCTTAATAAGAGCTTCCCTCCTTCCCCCTGATTGGGCGTTTCCCGGTTTGGATGCCCGCCGAGCTCCCCTGGGCTCTCGCCCCCCCCCACCGAGATGGGCCTTCCACCCCTTCTCCCAGGGGAGGCCTGGCTCTACGCTCGGAGACCTCCAAGGAGGATGCAGCCGACATCAACGCACCAACCCCAACCGGCAGCCGAACTGTCGAACGCCAGGCCGAGGAACCAAGAGCCAAGCGCAAGAAGGACGTCGCCGCCACCTGCTCCTCCAGCGGCGGCGCGTTCTGGAGTTGCCAGGACACCTGCCCAGCAACGCGAGGCCGCCGCCTCCGGCCAGGCTGGGCTTCCCGGTCCTCCTCCCTCTGTATCCCGGGGCTCTTTGGGCCTCCGCACGTGATCGAGTCATTCGAAGGGGTTAGAACTAGAGTCTCCAGCCTTGGTGGGGCGTCGTGGGCAAGGACCGCTGGAAAAGCGGCTTGGTGTTTCTGGATTTTTTTTCTTTTCTTTTTAAGAGTTGTGGTTCTTCTCCAGGCAATTTTCATTATCGGGACTGTAGCCCCTGGTAGCAGTGAAGGATAAGCCCTCCACAGAGCTTGCAGATGCCCGATTATAATTGGCTTGGATTAGACAAGATCACCTGCCACTTCAGAGCGCCTTTTCTGGGCCAGGCTCCCTGGTGGATGTTATCTTCCTTAAGCAGCCAGCTGCATTTTTCAAAATAGAAAGCTGAATTTGAGCAAGGGCTTGCTCAAGGTCAGCCAGAAAACTGAGATTCATTTCCAAGTTTTCTTATTCCAAATCTACCACTCTCTCCATCATACCAATTTAAACTTATCTTACTAATACTTACCAGCATGTAATCAATCGTGCAGGCAAAGCTTTTCTCCAAGTCTGGTTTAAGTCCCTCAATTCAAATTCTGGCCTAATTTCTCCCCTGGTGAAGTGAAAAAAAAAAAAATTAGACTGTGTTTTTATTTTTAATAATCTTTTTAGTGACTATAAGAAAAATTTTTTTACTGATTATTACACAAAAGTGGTCATTGTAGAAATCTTGAAAAATATTAAAAAATATTGTTAATACTCATAATCCCACAATCTAGATAAAACACTTTTTTCTGGATATCTATTTCTGTATAACAAATTGCCTCGAAATTGCTTTAAACAACAACAATCATTATTATCTCCTGATTCTGGGGGTTGGCTAGGCTAAGCTAGGCTATTTCCATTTGGGGTCATGTGGTTGCAGTCAGAAGGTGGCTGGACCTTCCTCACTCATATGTCTGGTGACTTGTGTTGACCATAAACTGGGACCTCAGCTGGGGCTTTAGCCATATCACCTACGCATGGCTTTTCCATGTACTTCTTCACAGCATGGCGTCTGGGTTCCAAATAGGAGCATCCCAGGAGAATCAGGCAGAAGTGTCCACAGCCATGGATGTAAGGAGAGGGAACTCTGACTACACCTCTCACTGGGAGAATCCAGGTCACATTGTATGAAGAGCCTAGGGGGTGGGGGACCTTGTTGTAACCATCTTAGAAAATACAACCTGCCACACCACTACTAATATTTAAGAGTTATTTTCTCCCCGTCCTTTTTTCTATGCACATAAGTGTTTCTGTTTTTGGTTTTGTTTTTGTTGGGGTTTTTTGTTTGTTCGTTTGTTTTTGGCTACGACGCGCGGCTTGTGACCTGGGTTGGAACCCGGGCTGGGGCAGTGAAAGCTCAGAGTCCTACTGGACCGCCAGGGAATTCCCAACATATATGTTAACATAAGTGGAATTTAACTACATATACAACTTTCTAGAATGCTTTTTAAAATTTCACATTATATCCTGATGATTTCCTCTTATTAAAGTGTCTTTTAAAACCACATTTTATCTGTTTAATTATCCCATGGTAGAAGAGGTAACATTTCTACTAGAAGTGTTAGCTGGGCAACAGCATAGTTATTAAAATTGTAATGCCAAGAAGGCAGAGATTTTTGTCTGTTTTGTTCCCTGCTACATACCAAGCACCTAGCACAGTGCCTAGCACATATAGACACTCAATAACCATTTGTTTAATGAATGTATAAATGGGTGGATGGATTGTTGATTTAAATGGCCTGAGCTGAGGCCCTCTCCTATTTGCATCCTCCTGCAAAGAAAGAGACCAGGCCTCTAACCTGCATCACCTGGTTTCAAAACATCAAGACCTGTTGGTCCGGGGATCGTGGGGCAGCCGGGTAGATCGCAGAGTCGAAACTCTCTCTCATCCTAGGTGTCCTGCGTACTGCGGGCTCGTAAACCTTCCATTACTCTGCAGATTTAAAGCCTCCCGGGCCACTATGCATTCATCCCTTGGGCAAGTTTTAGATGCTTCCTGCGCCTGGTCGAGGTCTGGCAGGGCACGGGAGTCACCTAAGGGGTTCTCCGGGCGGCGGAGCCCCGGAAGCCTCCCACGTGCGCAGCTGGACTGCCCGGGTTCGGCAGCAGAGGTTGAGGGTTTGGGGTGCTCGATGCGTCCAGAAGCCCGAGACCTCCTGAAGCTCCCGGAAAAGCCTGCTGGTACAGCCTGGAGGGCGCTCACCATCCGGCAAGACGGGCTTCTCCAGGGTCTCCCACTGGCGTCTCCTCTTTTGGCTGCGCCCCCCAAACCAAGCACGGCGTGGAGGTCACCGCGGGGCCCGTATGGGAACAGAGGGTTGACGCAGGAAGTGGGGCCGATCCCGGGCCCCCGAAATCAACTCGACCTTCTTTCGGGCTGTAGGGCCCTCCTTGCTGCTCTGCAATCTGGGATCCTTCCGTGCCGTGAGCTGGGTCTGAGAACTTAGGACTCCGTGGCCACCACCAGCACAAGTAGGGTTTACGTGTCTAAGTACGATGTTTTTCTGTTCTTGTTTTTGTTTTGAAATTGCTGTTTTTGAAGGTCACAAGTGGTTGCATATCGGCAGTTTCAGGATCCAACCTAATCGTAAAAGGCAAACGCTTCTAGCAGGTTCCATGGCGAGGTGAGAGCAAGGTGAGCTGGACCTTAGCCCCACCGACCCCTCTGCCCTGAGGATCCCCCTTCTTGTTTACTAACTGGGGGCTCAGCTCTGAGAAGGGACAGCAGAGTGAGGCAGGTGGAAGCCGGTGGACCCCCGCGGGTGTTGCAGGCACCGAATCGGGAGGGTCCGGACGTTCTCGTTCTTGCTTGGCCTGCTGCGATTCCAGACCCTTTAGAGCACAGGGTGAGGCAGCTGTAAGAACTAGGTGTCCGGGGATTAGAGGAAACCAGGCAGCAGAGGGGGAGTGATATCAAATAAACTCTACTCCTGTTCCTTTCGGGTCTTAGCGGAACAGCGGCGAGAAACTTTGAGCCTAGAAGGATGGCATTGTTTGATAGCCGGCAGTCAGGGACACCGGTAAAAAGCCTCTTGTGTCTGGTAAACCTCAAGAGTTTCAACCTAAATTGTGTGGGGGGGGTCTTAAACATCACCTCTCCCCCGCCCAGCTGCACTGCAAACAGCTCAAGTATGGGAGCCTCTCTTCCCCAAAGTGAAGAGTCACCACAAACCCTCATTTGACATGCTGTCCCATAAACACACACCAGAGGGCAGTGTAATCCAGGACATGGGAAATAAAATGCGATGGGAGATTCTCTACTGATGCCTTCAGGCGGAGGCATCACAAGCCTCCTACAAGGCGGGCGCTGGGGAAATGCTTGTTGAGTGGATTACTGATGCACCATCGTCTTTGAAAACCTTCCGTGGTAGGCAGAGGGGGCCTGGCAAAGATGGACGAGAGGGAGCCTCCGAACCTGTTACCACCACCAGCTCCCAAATGCTCAAAGGGCCGCACCACCAGTTCAGGTCAGGAAACAGTTACCGAGCACCTCCTATGTGCCAGGCACTGTGCTAAGGGCAGGGATTCAAAGGTGAGTAAAACCCAGTCCCTTCCCCAGTTGAGCGCCTATGATGTGCTAATCTCTTTACATTCATTATCCCATTTAACTCTTACAATGGTAAAGTGTTGTAAGAATCATCCCCATTTTACAGATGATGAAAAACAGACTCAGAGGGGTAAAGTACTAGTCCCATTAGTAACTGGCAAAGATGGAGTTTAAACCAGCTCTCTCTAGATTCAGAGGCAGGGCCCTCACTACTGTGAGCATTTTTTTTTTTTTTTTTTTTTTGCAGTACGCGGGCCCCTCACTGCTGTGGCCTCTCCCGTTGTGGAGCACAGGCTCCGGACGCGCAGGCTCAGCGGCCATGGCTCACGGGCCCAGCCGCTCCGCGGCATGTGGGATCTTCCCAGCCCGGGGCACGAACCCACGTCCCCTGCCTCGGCAAGAGGACTCTCAACCACTGCGCCACCAGGGAAGCCCTGTGAGCATTCCTAGTATGTGCTCTTATAAGGTTATTGAGAGGATTAATGAATAAACACACGTAAAGCGCTTAGCATGACATGCACACATTAAGAAGCCAGTAAGTATGCACTTTTGTTAAGAGCATTTCCTTCTATAACTGATTTCTCTAACTATGAAGTACCAGCTCAAATCTGATGCAAGAGGAGCTGAACAGCATCCGGCCTGTTCTGTTGGGGAAGGGGTGAGGAGAGAAAACAGTAGATGCAATTTTCACTTCTGCAAGTTGTTTTAGAGCCAGAGGCCTTTGCGAAGGGGTCAGGTCATCCCCCCTACCCTGCTCACCCTGCACTCTGTGAGGAGGGCTGCTAAACCCCCTCATGTCCCACTCCCACTCAGGTGTTGAACCAGGACCAGGGACAAAGAGCCTTCTGAAGCACCAGCTTTAGGAAGCAAATGGGGAAGACTTCCTCCTGGGGTGGATGGGCTCCGCCACACAAACTCAAAGAAAAATGTAAAAATGCCTGGGTTAGGGAAGCCAGGCAAATCTAGGAAATTCTCCCCAGGAAAAGGAGGGTGCAAGACAGAAATGGAGCAAATGTACACAGTAAACTCGGAAAATAAACTCGAGTTAGTGTTCAGAGGGACTTCCCTGGTGGTCCAGTGGTAAAGAATCCACCTTCCAAGGCAGGGGACGCAGGTTCGATCCCTGGTTAGGGAACTACGATCCCACGTGCTGCGGGGCAACTATCCCGTGTACCACAACTACTGAGCTTGCACACCTCAACGAGAGAGCCCGCGTGCCGCAAACTACAGAGCCCACGCGCCACAAGTAGAGAGAGAAAACCTGCACACCACAACTAGAGAGAAGCCCGCGCGCGGCAACAAAGAGACCGCGTGCCGCAACTAAAACCCGACACAGCCAAAAACAAAATAAAGATGAAAATAAAGTAAATAAATATTTTTTAAAAAGAATTTAGAAGAGAAAAATCTTAAAAAAAAAAAAGTTAGTGTTCAGAGACCAGTGTGAGGAAAAATACCCCAGCTGATGTTGTGATAAAGGTCATGTGATCCATTTTATAAAACATTAGGTGTGACAGAGAGGTCACCTAGCTCATGGTGGAAAAGCCAACTAGAAAATGGTACGGCCACAGTCCAAGCTGGTGGTGAGATGGGGTGTCCTGCTCAGCTCTGCCCTCTTCCCCTTCAGGTCCACCTCCATGCTTTTTTTCCCTACAAGCGTAAGAATAAACAGACTTCCCCGAGAAAAAGAGAAAAAATGAAAACAAAAGCTGGGAGATGGGCTGACGTGGTATGAGGACCAAGGTAACCAAAGGTGGGAGGGTTGCTTTCTGCTTAGAGGATTGCCAGGGAGAGTCCAGGGCTTGGTCAGGTATCATAGTCCATTTGGTGGGACTCCTACCTTTACTAAATATCTGGGCTCAAGGAAAACAAGACATGTCCATTTCTTACTCAACACCAGATATCCGTTCTCCTTCCAAAATGGCAGCACGGTTACTGGTATTGATTTATGGACGGCTTACCCTGCGCCAGGCATTGTGTCAGATTTTCACTCTCGCTTACCCACATGACAGTCCTGTGGGATG